GCTCTAGTAACTAGTGGTTTTGAATCGGGATAGAGCTGTCTCCCCAGAAAAAGGACACTAACACAGATTTTTGTCTGCAATTTCAAAACATTCTCAGAGAAGTCCACACATCCTCTACTTTCACCTTTCTTGAGCTTTTGGTGCCATCATCTCCACATCAGCAAGTCTCAGCATCATTCTTCACTAACCAATCCCAGTGTTCCCACATAGCTCCTCTCTGTGTTCCCTGGGTCTATCAATCCACTTGTATTATAACACCTGAAATAACTATGTCTTTATTTCCCCATAAGACAGAAAGCTACAAGAGAGAAGGAATTACATACCTTCTTCATTGTGATCTCCCAAGCACATAAATAATTCATCATTCAGTGTTAACTTTAAAAATAAGTCTCTGGGCAGACCCCAGGTTTTATTTAAAAAGGTAGAAACTGATTCTATTTCAGAACTAAACCCAAATTTCTCAGACAAAGATTCAGGCTTAAAAGACCACCCTCCAAACACAAATGGCCCATAAAAGTTAACAGTTAAGACATCAAACAGGCAAGAACTGAGGGGCTGGTTTGAGAAACTCCCTATGAATTGGAACTTGGGGGAGGTTATTATTCACACTGCTATTTTGGAAGCGAATCTTTAACCTGGCCATCAATCATAACTTGCCTGTAACAAATTTCATACTATGCTATAGCCTGGCAAAACTAAACCTTCTTCTGTTCAAATTCTCTCTTCACTTTCAATTACCAATTTCAGTTGTGTTCTCTGAAAGGGGAATTGATGTAGCACACATATTTGCGTTTACTAAGGAAACCATTCAACCACTTTGGAAAGGCACAGAACAAGGTGGCCAACAAAAATAATAAATGCAAACTCCAGCTTGTGGCTGCAGTTAGTCTCTCATCTTACAGCCCCCAACAGAGAAGGTTATTGCTTAAACAGAGAGTGTTCATAGATTTAAAAGGAACCTCTGTAGCCAGTAAGCCATCGTTTCTATGTACGTAGATTCATGGTGGCACAAAGCCCTGTGTACCTGTGCACATGTTTCCCACAGCTCCTTTCGTATCCAATGGCCCATCACTGGAGTTACAGTCACTGTTAATTTATTAAGCACAAATATCCATTTGGCACAAAGTGCTCTGCTAGGCACTGTGGGAAATACAAATAAGGGTGAGACATAGCACAGCCCCTCCTTTCAAGGGCTCAGAATCTACAAGGAGAAGAAGTGCGCATAAATTATGATAATGTACAGCATTATCATGTATGTAATATATGTGATAAATATATGAGAGACATGAGTGGGTCAGCCCATGAGTGTTAAAAGGAAGGCAGATGGTTTCCGATTGGAGTGATCAAGGAAAGGTCTCATCAAAGTGGGGGTGTTGCTGGATGATGGGCAGAATTTAGATAAATAGCCAGGGGGAAGGATTCCAGATGTAGAAAGTAGCATCTGCCAAGAAGGAAAATGTGACTCAAGTTCTTTAAGGACAGGATTTTAGGAAACCATGGCAAAAAGACTGGAAAATTAGGCTAGAAGCAAACTGTGTAGCCCCCCCTAAAAACAACTGAGAACTTTCTACTTGAGAGAGAACAGGGAGCTGCTACTCTAAGGTTTTGAGTAGGGGAGTGATGTGATAAAAAGCAATACTAAAGTCAATGGACTTAAAATACCATTATCTACACTGAGAAAGTAAAATGAGCTAGAATTAGAGAGACCAAAAGTGAGAATGTTATAGTAATAATCTAAAAGAGAAAAGCAGAACTTTGGTTATGGTACAAAGACTGATGAGGTGGGAAGATCTGAAGAGGCTTCTTTAACAATGGTTTCTGGTGTCTCATTCAGCTCCCAAATGTGTGAAATGAGTTTAATAACTAACAAACAGCATTGTACTGCGCTGAAAGTGTTATCAATGAAGAAAATGCCAGAGGAAAATGACCTCTTCTCCCCAGCATATTTCCTTTTCATTGCAGAGTACTTTTGTCAACTGATTACATGTTTTAAATCTAAATAGAAATTCCTAGCCTGCTCCTGATGAGACCTTAATTATATAACCTGAGCCAGGTGCTCGATTACTAGTACTTATCTCCAAATGTGGTATTTCAGAAGACTGCTTCAGCTGATGTAGTCTGGTTTGGCTTTTAGCAAATCTCACTTGGTTTTCCTGACTAGTAAAACCACACTACTTTACCGGTTTTCTCCAGATGTAAGAAGATTCACGAAGCCTTTCCTAGAGGCCATGGTGCTCATTCTCCATCTTCAGCCTTGTTTGCAGAAGGAGGCAGACTGAACCTCCAAAATCTCACATGTAAATGCAGCTTTAAGAATTATTTTAAGAACAGAAAAGAACAGAATCAAAATTCTCATCTGTTATAAGCATACAAACACAGTCAAACACAAACAACTTTTCTACAAATTTTCCATACGCTTCATGTGAGTTTTTATAGACACTGTATCTTTACTAGGCTGCAAAAACTAGATCACAAAGCCAGAAAAGCTGCATTAAATTCTAAGATGGAAGAACTCCAGAGATGTTCTAGGAGCGGGAATGAGACTGATTTACTCTCTCTGACAGATTTGCTATTCACGTGCAGATGGTTACATAATCGACTTGCTGATGGGGCCCTAGATCTCCATCTTCTTTCAGATGTTCCAGATTCAAGACCTTTACCTCCTATCTTACTGGAGATGTGATGTCCACTTGCTAAGAGAGTGTCTCGGAAGTTATCTTTAAAATTTATCACCCAGCACTTAGGGTGAACTCAGCCGATGTGATTTGCTTTTGGACCCTAGAACCTAGAGAGTTTCCCTTCCCCAGCCTCCAAAGCCTCTGGCTTGGACTGAAATCCCCACCTCTGGATTTCACAACCTCAGGGGAGCACACTTCCCAAGAGACCCCATTAAGCTGTGCCAAAATAGGCTCAAGAGGAGTGTTTATCAAGCAGTTCCAATCAGCTTCAGCTCATTTGTGGTCTGAGCAGAGACAGAGGGCAGGTTAGGAGTCAGTGGAGGTGGTGACAATCAGGAACATGGTGGCTCCAAGTTGAGAGCAGCCTGCAGGCTGGCAGAGGGAACCAGGAAAACCGGGACAGGTCCCAAAAGACGAATAGTAGTGAATACCCAAACTGGCAAACTCGTGATTCTGTGGCTGGGCCCTGGTAGCAAACTATATAAAGGTGGAAGATGAGGGGAGGGCAGGGAAGTAGGAGGGTCCCCCTGCTTGAGAAAGCTCAACTAGAAGTTGAGGTTCCCAGGAAGCTCAAAGGCACCTCCCAATTCAGTGCAGAAAAGCTATCTCTAGCTTCTCACCTTTTTTCCCTGCTCCCAGAAAGCTGCTTCTGGGGCACTTAATGACTTCCTCTTTCCCTCTAGATTCATTTTTACCTGATTCCTGCTAAAGGGTGTGGGGGAGGAGGTATTAGCACATGGGAATGACTGTTGCCTGGCAGTAAGGATGAAGTTTCCTTTCCACTTTACCCTGAATCAGCTCCTACAAAGCACCCGCAAACTTAAAAGTCAGCTCAAAACACAAATGTTCCTGTTTATTAATTTACAAATTTATTTTATTCATTCATTCATTTAGGTGTGTGCAGATAATTTCCCGCAGCCATCCCTACATCTCCCAAGCACACTGGTAGAAAGATGGGCATCCTCTATCCTTCTACCAGAACTCAGTAGGTTCATTTCTCATACCCTAGATTTAAACTGCCCACAGTGTTGAACGCAAAGCCAAATATTTCCACGCCCTATAGCACACGTCACCCACTTTCCCATTAACACTAAATTAAAACGCATCCATGGATTTCCTCTCCATTCCGAGGCAAGAAGAGTGCATGGCACATTGCCCGACTCCCCTGAAGCTCTTCGCTAACCTAAGACTCCAAGGTGAGGAAGTTAGCTGGAGCTTTTTTTTTTTTTTTTTTTTTTTTTTTTTTTTTTTTTTGAGACGGAGTTTCCCTCTTCTTACCGCGGCTGGAGTGCAATAGCGCGATCTAGGCTCACCGCAACCTCCGCCTCCTAGGTTCAAGCAGTTCTCCTGCCTCAGCCTCCTGAGTAGCTGGGACTACAGGCGTGCGCCACCATGCCCAGCTAATTTTTGTATTTTTAGTAGAGACGGGGTTTCACCATGTTGACCAGGATGGTCTCGATTTCTTGACCTCGTGATCCAGCCGCCTCGGCGTCCCAAAATGCTGGGATTATAGGCGTAAGCCACCGCGCCCGGCCAGCTGGAGCATTTTAAAGTGCATCTCCAAAGATAATTTTGCTCACACCATGAGAGCCCCCAAGAAACACCAGGGCCCCCTTAGATGCCAGAGACTACGCCCTCCAGCAATAAGCTGCACCTTCTGCCCAGCAGAGCCTTGCGCGAGTATCCCTCTTTCCCTGGGGCTAATCAAGTGCATGCCACATGTCACCACTCTCAGCTGGCAACTCTTCCTCAGAGGCGCAGACTTTCTCGGAATCCCCAGCAGGGGGGTGAGTAGGAGATTCAGGAAAGGCCCAGCCCGTGCCTTCCACAAAAGTCGCTTTAGCGTGGCTCGTGCCCTGCGGCCTCGGAGGGTAGCCTGGGACGTCTAGTGGGAGGGTATAGAGGCTCCTTCCACGACAAGCTGCCAGCCTCCCAGTCCCTGGTCGTGAGCAACCAAATGAGAGGCAAAGTTCTGGGTGTGAGAAAGTAGCAAACTAGTCTGCGGCCAAACTTTCTCTCTGTAGCCTCCTACACCGAAAAGAGTTTGATTGGAACTCTGCAAGCCCGGACGCAGAAGGTGCCCGGGCTCCAGTCGCCGCGAGGGCGCCCAGCGCCTGGAGATGGGACAGTCGGTTCTCCCCGGCGCGTGCCCAGACGCCATCCCCGCGCCGCATCACCCCCACCCTCAGGCTGCGAAAGACGAGTTCTGCGCAAACAAAGGGCGCCCCCGGCACCTCCCTCTATCCCGAGCGAAGGGTCCCAGTGGCGACTCCGCGGTTCTTTGGTGCCCAGTTGAGGAGGCAGCCACGCCTCCAATCCTACCTGGGAAGCTGCGGCTGGGCGGAACGCGCAGCAGCAGCAGCAGCAGAGGTGGCAGCAGCAGCAGCGCGGGCTGGTGTGCGGGGCTCCCCATAGCGAGTGGGTGAGCAGCTCGCCACGGCAGCGCAGTGCGCTTCCAAGGGGCGGGAGGAGACCGAAGAGACCAGGGACTGCGTGTTAGCGGGCGGGCGAAGGCCGGGCTAGAAAACTCCTCCTTTCGCCTCTTTCCCTCCCTCCTTCCCGCCTGGGGCCTGCCCTCCTTTCTCCGCCCCCCTGGAAAACTGCGCGGTTCGGGGCTCTGACCCACCCATCTCCTCCTTTTGTGCCAGCGCTTTTTCTGGCCAGAGAGCGCTGGAGACATGCCCCAGCAGAGCGAAATATCCTGGAGTATCTTTCTTTGCTCCAATTTGAGCGCCCCCTCACCCAGAATACACACAGACGGGTGGCTCAACCGCCTCGAACATCCCAAACGTCTAGAAGTGTACCATCTGTGCAGAAAGCTGCGTGAGTCACGCGGAAACAGAAGGGGCAACCGAGGGAATTCAGAGTGGCCCACTGCAGCCGGTTACTACGGCCACATTCTCTGGTTTGAAGTTCGCTATTACCGTGTACACTTTCTCCAAGAAGAAACCAACGCTTAGAAACTTGCCCAGGTTCACCCTCATTACTGGCATAGCAGGGACTGGAACTTAGGTGTGTAGTTCTGCCGACGTCAAAGTCCATACTACAGTTTTGTTGTTGTTGTTGTTGTTGTTAGTTTGTTTCTCTTTTGCAAGGGAATAAATCAAGGACTGGACTGATGTGTGCCTGCTGTGCTGCGGTTTAGGATGGGCCTTGAGGTTCTCCTTCCAGGATCAGCTGATGGGAGAGCACAAGGCACAGAAAGTTCTGTCTCACCCACAGCCTTGGGGATCCAGCTGTAGGTTCCTGCAGCTAGATCTCCTCATTTCCTAGGTTGTTCTCAACCACCCCAAAGACACCATGACCAGACTGGAGCCTCCACCCTGTGGCTTGGCATTGCTGGATCCTAGCATCAGGATAGGGTTTCTAGGCTGCCCTCAGGACAGGTCTGGTTTCTTTGAGGCATTTGAGAAAGCCTGTCATGGTTTTGTTTGTTCGTTTGTTGTTTTGGTTGTTTCTGTCCTTGTTCAATCAGTGAGGCAGTAGGTTGCCCCTTTGCTGTCTCAGGAAGATCTTAGCTAAGGCAAATTTTCGTGGTGTTGCTGCATTAGGTTGTGCAGATTGGGCACCGTACAAAGGCATCCGGAGGAAGGGGCAAGTGGGAGGGAAAATCCAGACACCTCTGGGTTCAGGGAGCTTTGTATCTTGGCAGGGGCCACATCCACTGTGGAAGGACACCTTTCTCTCTGCCACAATAGTCTGGTCTGATAGCTAGGCTACGAGCCCTGGGAGCACTCACCAAGAAGTTTTGAGTTTGCTTATCCAGAAGGAGTGCTGTTTCCCAATTCTCACAAAAGCCCCAAACTTGAACTTCCATCTTAACCTCCCTAGCAACTGGGGGGACTTTGCTCCATCTCCTGTGGGTTTCTCCATTGCTGCTACCTCTTCAGGGGACCAACAACCCTTAAATAACTCCCCAGTCACAGGAAAATGGGGAGATCGGGCTCTTCTGTGGCCTCCATCAGACCAGACTCTCCAAGGAGATATTCTCAACCTTGTATACGTGGGTCACCTGGGGAGCTTCATGAAAATACCACATCCAGGCTCTGCCTCACACTAATGGAATCAGAATCTTTAGGGATGTGACCTGGAGTTTGACCAGATGCATATTTTTGTTTCTCCCCAGCCCCCTAAGCTCCGTGGTATAAGTTTTAGTATAGGATAAAAATTCTAAACCAGCGTTTCTCATCTTGGGCAGTATTGATATTTGGGACTAGATCATTCTTTCTTGGGGAGGAGGGCTGCTTTGCACATTGAGAGAGGCATTGATGGCCTCTATGCAACAGATATCAGTAGCAATTCCCCATTCCCCAGTTGTGACAACCAAAAAATGTCTACAGACATTGACAAATGTCCCCCAGGGGAAAAATGCCCCCAGTAGAGAACTACTTTTTTAGGTTCATAAACAAGAATTAATGTGCACCCCAAATTCCAGGTCCAGGTTAACCTGGCCAGCAGCCTTCTTTTCCTATGTCACCTCTGAAGCAACGTGTCTTAACCATGATCAGTATACATTCTATTACTGTGCTGAGAAGGAAATTCTAGCTCTCTCCTATCCACTGATTCTGTCTGAATTACAAGAAACACTACACTTACCGTTGAGTTGCTCTCTGGCCTTTGAATGTCCTCACCACAAAGAAATGAATCAGAAATGGATGAGGTGATGATCACACTAAATACTGACTTGAGACCAGGTGCAGTGGCTCATGCCTGTAATCCCAGCACTTTGGGAGGCTAAGGCAGGTAGATCACTTAAGGTCAGGAGTTTGAGACCAGCCTGACCAATATGGTGAAACCCCATCTCTACTAAAAAGACAAAAATTAGCTACGAGTGGTGGCGCACACCTGTAGTCCCAGCTACTCAGGAGGCTGAGGCAGGAGAATCACTTGAACGTGGAAGGCGGAGGTTGCAGTGAGCCAAGATGATGCCACTGCACTCCAGCCTGGATAACAGAGCTAGACTCCTTCTCAAAGAAAGAATACAAAAACTGCCTTTTTTCTTTCTTTCTTTTTTATTTTATAGGATCTTACTCTGAATTTGAATTTGTTTTTATTGCAGCCTTGGACATTTGTGTTCAAGTGATTCTCCTGCCTCAGATTCGTGAGTAGCTAGGACTACAGGCATGTGCCACCATGGCCAGCTAATTTTTTTTTTGTAGCAATGGGGTTTCATAAATATGTACATTTACAATGTGTCCATTAAAAATAAAAATAAACAAAAGTAAAAGGCATGAAGAAACATCTCAATATAATGTTTATAGAGCAAATTAACATTTGCTGTTTTCATTGTGCAAGGATATCTTGAAAGATAGATCCAAGCTCAGTTGCCTCCTGTATTAATAAATTGAAATAACTCTTTCATTTTTACCTAACAAAGATAAACAGGACAGAACAAGGTGGTATTATTTACCTAGTGGGAATACTAAAAGGAATGCCATTGTTTTGAAAATGTACAAGGTATATAAATCACGTAGATTAGAGTAACAGGGCACACAATTAGATGTAATATTGGGAAACCATTATTTTTCCTTGACAAGCTTGAAGTATTCAATATAAACCCTGGGGAGAACTAATATGAACAAGAAAAACTAAAATAAGAGTCTGGAGTAAGAAAAAACAGTTAGTCTTTTGCTCTCTTGACTACAGTATAGAGAAAATTCCAATGGGACTTTTCTTTTTCTTATTATTTTCATTCCAGGTTTCTCTCTAGTAGAAGAGATGAGGGTAGAGGGAAGCTGGAGGGAGGGGTTGTCAATTTACCCCACAATATCTTGGAAGACACTCAGGCAGTTAAACAGATTCGTAATCTGTCAAATAAATTATGGGTTAATGAGTTGATGAAAACAAAGAGTAGTCACTAAGGGAGTGCCACAGAGCTATGACACCATTCTTATCCCGCTTGATATTACTATTTATGAACTAGAAAAAGATTTTTTGGCATAGACATGAAGATAGGACGGCAAGAAACAGGTTTCAAACATCTCTCTAGGCAGGCATGCTGTATTGACTTGAAACATTAAAAGATAGCAAGGATAAATATGATGTCCTATGTTAGATCTCAAAAACCAATCACACATGAAGAATCTAAGAATCCTTAGAAAGCCAAATAGTCTCCCCATTCCATCAGGCTCATCTGTGCAAAGAAGTGCATATAAGGTGTTTATTCAGCGTTGCTCATAGTAACAAAAGGTTGGTGACATTTTTGTAAATATAAATATCTGTTAATGGGGAATCATTTTATGAACTATGCATACCTATGTGACAGAATTCTATGTGGCCATTAAAAAGAATGAACAAGATGCACATGAATCAATAGGAAAGATACTCTCAGATATTTTGTTTAATAAAATAACAAGCAAAATAATACACATATCTTGCTAACAATTTGTGATATGGGGAAGGCATGATGCTATATCAGGGTATGGGGAAGTCAGAGTAGGAGAAATAATTATTACTATACTACCCTTTGTACTGTTTAAATGTGTAAGCACGTGATGATATTTCTTATTTAAATTAAATAAATGATAGACAATGTTTTCTTTTTAAAAAACAACCACAGAGATACAGAGTAGGGGTTGCCAGTAGTGGCTTCACAGTACAACCTGTGACAGTACAGTCTATTTGCCTATAAGCTAAGATTCCAAGGCACCTCAGGTGCATGCAGACAGTGTCTGTCTTGTCATCTGAAGCATTCCTGAGTACTGGGCAAAGTACCAGAGGTGAGAAGAAGAGAACACAGACATCAAAGTCTGGCAGGAGGAGGGAGGTATCTTTCCACTCTGTGCAGTGCTGTAGTCAACAAAACAGTCTTGTCCCCCGAGTCAGAGCAGAATGAGACCCAGGAGAGAAGGAAGGAAGGAAAAGGATTCTCAGGAGTCATCCCCCGACACACGCTTTTTTCCTTGAACTTGTCGACTCAGAGATGGCATTGAAAAGACCCTGGCAGCCATCTATGTACTGCAAGAGAGGTATTTTCTGAGAAAGAATCAAAGCCTCCTTATGCCCGTCCCATTTTCCCATGCCTCCTCATTCTCCCAGCCCTCTCAAACTGTTGCCAGAAAAGAGATTCCCCCAGAATGGGTTCTTGAATCTTGAGGAGGAAAGAGTTAAAGGCAAGTCTCAAAGTACAGTGAGAAGAGACAGTTTATTAAAATCTACTCAGTTACAGATTCGTGTGTCCCCAGAAATCAAGAAGAGGAATGCCTCGTCTTTGTTTTAAGTTTTTCTTATTTAGGGGTCTTATCTATGTAAAACCTAAGTTATGTCTACATGTGGGTGGGCTGAAAGTTGACAAATTTATGATTTTGCTGATTTAAATAAAGCTATCCTTGACACTTAGGATGCCAAGGATAAATACATCATAAATACATCATAATTGGCATAAATACATCAAAGCATAACTATAAATACATCAAAGCATAAATAAATAAATACATCATAATTGGCATAAGTACATCAAAGCATAACTATAATGAAGTTGGAAGCATACATTGTTATGGATATTGAGACATATGGACACTCTGTTGTTGTAGGAGTGTGTCCTTGCAGATATCACTAAGCTGTTTCCTTAAATGTAAACGTCTTATGACCACGGGTCATGACTGGCAAGAAATGTGCCTTGTTAGTCCCAAGATGGAGGTTAACTTAAAATGGCATTAGTCTGGCTCTCCTGCTCTACTT